ACCGTCCAAAGACATGCAGCTTGTGGGGATAGGTTAATTGGATAATCCAAATTGTCACTAGGTGTGAAAGTGCGAATGAATGTGAGTGCGAATGGTTGTCTGTCCCTGTGTGTTAGCCCTGCGACAGACCTGTCCCGGGTGTACCCCGCCTCTCGCCCTATGACAGCTGGGATAGGCTCCAGCGCCCCCCGCAACCCTGAAAAGGATAAGCGGAAGCGAATTGATGGCTGGATAGATTCTGATTTATTTTATATTCCTGGTTCTAGTTCTTTTAGTTGTGTTTCTGCTTTGTGTACTATTGTGTTTTCAGGTCTTCATTTTGTCATCTAATTGTTAGGTTTCCGTTTCCATGCCTGTGTTCCACATTTAGTCAGCCTTGTCTTTATGTTTATCTCTTGTCTCCATGTTTAGTGTTCCTTTTCTGTCTCCAAAGTCAGTCATGTTCCTGTGTCTGAAATTATTCAAAAATGATTCTAATGATTTCTACTCAGTCAGACTTGCACACGGCACGACGACAACATATTCCATCAGCTAATGAATTAATAAGGCAAGTATTGATGCACTTAAGCAGTTCTGTACAAGTCCTAACTGAATTAAATTAGGACTAAATTAAATTACTGGTATCACTACAAACCCGCTCTAAATTTTCACCTGTCCAAGATTCAACTTCAACCTTAAAAACAATGAGCCAAAAACTGAAGTTCCCCAAATGCCAGCTTGAGGATAGCTATGAAAGCAAGTACATCCCAACAGAATAGAAATAGTTCTGTTTACAGTCTTGTAGGAGCAAAAAAAAGTTTTGATCTCTATGACTAGTATATTTATTGGTGTACTTCCCTCATTCCTTTGGTTCTTGTAATAAAAGTTAAATGTTTTGCGTTTTGCAGTAAATTGCTTCTAACACCTTCCCATCTCATCTTGGTTTAGCATCAGCTGATCACTCCCGAGCTCGAGCCTCTCATCCAAATATCATCGTATTTAGTTTCAAAATAAGCACAAAAGGCAGCGGCTTCAAAACAGTTGACATCACAGTGGTTACGTCGATCTTTTACAAAGGCGGACATGCCCAGTGGGTGCGCTGTACAAAACAAACAGAAGCCGCATTGTGCTAGTTTGATCGTTTTTGACTTTTTTTTCACCACAATTCACAAAGACATTTATGATTATTTATTTTGTGGTTCGAGGCACAAAACAAATAACTTTGTATTTAAAGGGAATAAACACTTAAAGGCCTGCAGCGGCAGCAGAGTGTGTGTGTATTATTGTGCCGTGAGGAGCACATACACACACGCACAGGTGCACACAGAGAATGAAACACCTCTCCTTGTTGTCATGCTTTCACCTACACTGCAGTGCCAGAGCAGATGGTGTGCGCAACCCCGGGTTCACTTCCTGAAACGAAAAGAAGCAGAGAGAGAGATGGGAAAGAGTGGTAGAGATGGACAGTGTGGGACTATCTCCTCCCATACTGTCCATCAGCATTACTGTCAGGAGAAGACAATGCTGCGTGGAATGATTAGCACTCGCGCTGGTATCGTCTCTCCGTCTCTTTTCGTTTCCATCTCTCTCCTCTTTTCTCTCCATCTTTCCGCTCATTGTTTCTGTGCAGCAGTGAGAAGAAACTCTAGCCTGTCCTCGTCTATTGTCACAAGTCATGTTTTCACCACCGTCTGTCAACTGAAAGCTTGAAGACAAACTGACAGGATGACTGTGCTGGCATATGGCTCACTCTCCTGTACAGGGAGCCATGTTTAAGGGAGTGCGTGCAGATGTGTACAGAGCTCCATTTAAAGTTGAACTGGAAAAACTAAATTGTTAAGCTGTTATATATATTATATATACGCAGACACACTCTGCCTGAACTGTGGGCATATTTGTGCTGACATAAGCACGACTAAAGCCGTAAAATCCTGGCACACACACAACACTACTCTCATGGCATCACTGTAGCCGACTGTCTGCTTGTTGCTTGTTTTCTTCCCACATCAGCAGCAGAAGAACGTTAACAGTAAACCCACAACAGTAAGCTCTCCACATCACCTCAACATGTTGGGATTTTCTTTTTCAGTTTACTTCATTTGATGATTTGAAGGAATGACTGCAATTAATTTGCAGTGCTTGTAATTACTGACATCACAGTAATGTCAGCGCTATTGCCAGCCACGTCTGTTTTCAAGGCGGCTCAATCAATACTCGTTTGACCCCCGCTGTGAGGTGAGTCGCTGAGCTTCGCAAAGCTTACTGCGAGCGTCTAAATTCACATCATCAAAGCGCTGACGCGGCACTATGGTAAACAACGCTGGCGTGATCTCTGTGGCGGTTTATGACTGTAAAGCTTAAGTGGGATAATGTTTTTAGAGTCCTTTGGCTCTTCATGTTAATAACACAGTTTCCTTGCCAAGTGTAGCTCTGCAAATTTGACTTCAGGCGCGTCACAGGTGTTCATCACAGGGTGACGTATGACCTGTCTCTAGTTACTGGTCATGCAGTATCACGACCCACTTACATAACCCGGCGTCTAGACAAGTTCATATTCCAGTGAGTATGTAATGGAGCTCTTAGCCTGAAAAGTGTTACAATTTCTCAAGCCAACATATCCAGGATAAAGAATGACAATAAATAGACTAGAGGATAAATCATCACATCGTTATTCCAAACATCATTAAGCATTAGAGAATATTTAGTACCGCCACTATGTTTTGTTGATAATCAGTTTGTGTGTTCTCTGCAGCTCTGGCCAATAAAAAAGGAGTGAGGAAGACTTCAGTTACCTTTCAATGTGCAAAGCAAACGCACCCATGTCACAATTAATCAACAAGGCATCCAGATGCCCTCACAGTAAACTGTAACTCTGAGCTGTCAACTGATGTTTGCTGAAGTTGAATAAAATCACTCATACTAACAATGGTTCAATACCTTCACACTTTCCATCCGAAAAAATGAAAAAAAAATCAAAGAAGAAGAAAAAAAACGTGCACTTTTGCTCACAGTTGGAAGTGGAAAAATGTTTTTCTCCATCGATTACCATTTTCATCACCATCAGAGCATGAAAAGTAGCCACGTTTGCAGATTTTTGATTTGGCTTCAGCTGCCACACACTTACCAACTGCAGCAAAATCGCTGCCAGATCGAGTTTCTGCTTTGGCACAGTGTTGACTTTTATAAAAACAGCTTTATTTAATAGAACGCAGTGCATCACTGTCTCATCGCTACGCGCACAGAAACCAGCAGTCATTTCAGACCCTCTGACACGTGCTTTTCAGCTCGATTTCGCCGTCATCCGCAGAGATTCGGAAATGAAGCGATGCCACCATATTTTACATAAGATTCGAAGCTCCGGGCGATGAGAGTCAAATACACAAGTCAGCTGAGCGGCAATACTGCTGAGGTCAAATCCAACTCAGACGCTCTGCCCACACTGCAGAGCTGTCTCTGCACACCACAGAGAGGCCGAGAGAAGAGGAGACAGAAAAGTGTTTAGGTGTGTGGGAGAGAGGCAGGAGCAAGAAGACTCTGCTTCCATTCATGGCTTTCTGAGACATGAGAATTTCAGCATTTGAGAGGAAGACGGAGAGGTTTAAAGATGTGTGCGAGACGATGTGTGAGACATAAAGGAAGTGTAAATGAACTGTAAGGAGCGAGGCAGTCAGAGCGACGGACAGAACAGGCAATGAACCCGTGGGAGCTGTCGGTAATCTCCCGGCACGTAGACGACAGCGTTTATATTTACGAGTCGCGTCAGGCTGAGCGGCTTCTGCACGACTTACTGATCAGTCTGGAGTCTGCAGATCACAATTTTTAAAAGTGTAGCGCAAGCTCACAGCAAATATAACACAGGTTTGGCAGAAGGTGCTTCCGATTAAAAGCAGAGAAAGTCACTACAGATATAGACAACAATCATTTTTGTTGTTGTTGTTTTTTAAATAAGAGCTGATGCATCTAAAGAGTCTTTATCTGAAAACTTTGGGTCCCTATTTTTGGAGAAATAGGGACCCAAAGTGTTAAAAACACATGATCAAATGTCACGTCAATACTGAAACTGATTAAAGAATATAGACACATCTCCACTGATATGAGGGCATTTTTGTAGGTAAGTATAACAGAAAAATATTGGGATACAGTAAATGAGACGGACACACAAGAAAACAAATTATTGCTTCTTTTTTTTTTTTAAAGGTGCCCTCTCTTTAGTGCACATTATTCACACATACTCTAACACACCTGTACTTCATGCCAGTGTGTTTTCCCGTCGACTCCTTGAGTGAGATGTGGCGTGGCGTGAAGGAGCCGAAGCTTCGCGCGATGATGGCCACGGTACGGAACTTGGCCCTGGCCTGGTTGACCACATTGGGGCTGGTGGCGCTCTGCTTGCTGTGGTCCCCATTGCCCCTCTTCAGGTTGTGGTCCGTACAGGCGATGGACACCTGCATGGCTGGACTTCAGTCGGGGGAGCGAAGAGGAAAACTACAGACGGGACAAGGAGTGAGGAGGGGAAAGGAACCTCTGTTTGACTCTTCAGCTCAGTCTCTGTTCGGGTTCTCCTCGTCTCTCGCTTTTATTTTCCTCGTAAATGGACTTCAGTCTTCAGTCGCTCTCTCGCAAATGCTCCCTCTCCATGTGCACCACTTTGTTCTGTGAAGCAAGATAAACCGGCAAGAAAAAAAAAGAAAGAAAGAAAAGCTTTTCCTCTTTTTTTTCCTTCTGTGCTCAAATCAAGTGTCCCATTTTAAGTATTTCCTTTCAGAGGAGAGTCAGCAGAACAGGTCAGTCATCAAAAGCTAGAGAAGAACAAAGACTCCTCAGTTCTGTGAGGGATCCCCAATCTATTTCCCCCGCTGGTTTTTCCTTCTCCTGTGTCTTGCCTCTGATGCAGAGCCGGGGGATTTTTGTTTTTCCTAACAGGGTTTCAGCTGCAGAATGACAATAAGTGGAGGTGGAGAGGGTGCAGCAGGATGGCAGAGGAGCGAAAGAGAAACAAGAGAGATGGAGATGCGACCCAGGCGCTGCGCTCTCCCTGGTCTGACTGTGGGAAGAGAGAGCGAGCGATAGCATGTGCGAGAGAGCGCGAGGGAGGAGGAGGATGAGGAGGAGGGGACAGGGTCAGGAAAGGGATAAGGAGACAGGGCAGCAAGGACAGACAAAACAAAGCAGAGGAGTCACTCTCAGGTGCTGTCACTGTGCCCCATCGCACTTTTTTGCCATCAGCACCCCCCACCCCCATGCGTCTCCTCACTTCTTCTCCTCGGTGGTCCTTTGTTAATGCGTGTTACTAATGTGCCCGTGCCCCAGTTTCCCCCTCTCTTTTCTCCCCCCACTCTTCCGACTCCCTCGTCAACTGATGTTTGTTCTCAGTTTTTGGACGCTCTGCTCGTTTTGAGCTCCTCCGGCTTCTCTTTATTTTTATTTTTTTGTTGTTTTTTCTCAGCAGGGAAGCCACATTTACCAAAAGCGCACCTTCAGGGGAACTGAAAGAGATGTGGTGCAGCACACAGCCTCTCTCTCTCACTCACTCCCACTCGCTCTCAGTTGCGCTCTCTCTCTAGCTCCCACTCTACCCGTCTCACTCACCCTCTCTCACTGCTGCTCACCTGTCACACACTTCTAAGGTTCCTTCCTGCACCTTTAATGTCAGTACAGCAAAGCTATTATTCCCTCTCTAACACTCTAGCCACGATCCTCTCTGAGCCATTTCATTTTTTTTCTTTTCCCCTCTTTTTTGTCTTTTACTGCATCCTTTTTTTCTGACTTATTTGTCTCAAAGGCTTTCAGTGTTGGGTAGAACTAGCACTAGTTGTACCCAACACTGGGTAAAAGGGTGAGATATCCTATCACCAAGCCACATCCTGAAACCAGAATGAATGAGAAATTTTGGCTTATAAAGCTTGTAACTAGAAAATTAAATGGATGTTGCAGCATACATAAAAAAATGTGCAAGTCAGGATCATACAGTATTTGCTGACATAAAGTAACAGTTTTCCGAAATCCCCTAGCACACGATCCATCGAACCGAAAAGGCAGCTACAAATCAAAGAGAATGAGAAGAGGATGGATGAATGAAATGAGGGAGGTGTGGAGAAACTGGAATCAGGAGTCAAAAAGGAGCAGGCTGAGGCTAAACAAAGCTGAGAAGAGACAGAATTTAAAAAATCTTTGTGTGTTTGATCGCAGCACATCCAATTGTGTGACTGTGTGTGTGACTGTGTGTGTGTTGTAAGGTGTTATTGTTGTGTGCTTTTCAGTAATTCGATGAGGGGTGTCAAACAGAGGTAAATGGAGCATTTTGGTCCAGACTGTCTTTTGTGTGCATGTGTGTGTGTGTGTGTGTGTTTGTGTTTGTGTTTGTGTGTGTGTGTGTGTGTGTGTGTGTGTGTGTGTGTGTGTGCGTGCATGGGTGCATGTGTGGTCATATTCACATACATGCAGGGTAAATATCAGCACTGCAGCATTTATGCAAGTTTGCACTAACTTAACATAATCAACAAAAATTAAATAGAGTTTTTCATTCATTGTTAGCTTATTTGGTTTGTTTGTCCAAGCAAATTATTCATTTTTCTTCCTTAAGTAACAGCACTCACAGGCCACTTCATTAAATAGATTCAACTGGTTGTTAGCCCAAATATCTAATCAGCCAATCAAATGGCAGCAACTCAGTCCATTTAATCACAGAAACATGGTCGAGACGAGCTGCTGAATTTCAAACTGAGCATCACAATGAGGAAGAAAGGTGATTTCAGTGGCTTTGAACGTGGGACAGCTGTTGGTCTGAGTACTTCAGAAGCTGCTGATCTGCTGGGATTTTCTCACATAACCATTTATGGGGTTTATAGATAATAGCCCGAAAAAGAGAAACTATCCAGAGAGCAGCAGATCTCTGGGAGAAAATGCCTTCTTGATATCAGAGATCAGAGGAGAATTGGCAAGCTGCTTCAAGCTGACAGGAAGGCAACACTAACTCGAATAACCACCTGTTGCATCCAAGGTTTGCAGATAGCATCTATGAATGTACAAAAAGCTGAACCTTGAAGCTGATGAGCTACAGGACCACATCGGGTGCCACTCCTGTCAGATAACAACAGAAAACTGAGGCTATGGTTCACTGTACTCAAATGGCCTTCACAATCACCAGAGCAGCCAACAGAGCACCTTTGGGATGTGGTGGATCAGGAGTTTCACATCATGTGTAGCCAAACAAATCTTCAGCAGCTGTGTGATGGTATCATGTCACACCAAAATCTCTGAACAATGTTTCCAAGAGCTAACTAAGAGTTAATTCTGAAATGAAAAGGGCATTTCAACACACATAAATTGTATAGTAACCATCCACATGCAGAAAGATGCAGTTGAAAAGTCCAAGTGTTTTAACTACGGGTTAGATTTTAACCAAGCACTCAGAGCTTCCACACAATTTGATGCTTACTGCTGCTGTCGCAGTGTGATCAGCAGCATCTTTTAGCATATTTCTGACAGGTATCATCCACAGGAAAAATAGCTCATAGAATCAAAAACTAATGGATCTATGGAGTCTATACACAAGACAAATATAATAACATCACTGCAACTCTTCCTGAAGAGCTGTTTGAGGTAAAGTGGTTTAAGGAAACCAGGGAAACACTTTTTGGCAGAGGTTAATGATGATATCTGACTATGACACATACGGAAAACATAACATATATATATATATATACAAATATATATAAAATATTATGGGTTTTTTTTTTGTAAATGTCAGGATTTCTAAATTCCTAACTCAAAAAAAAAAACTTCTCATCATCTCACCACTCTCATATCTCTCCTTTGACTGAGAAGATATACGGAGCTTTGGATCAATCTTCCACTTTATTGAAAAGCAGCTCATTCTGGATCAATACTGCCTTGCTCCTCAAGAGAGCCACAGATCACATGGAGCAGGAGCTAATCTAATGAGGAGAAAAGTGCTGAGTGGAAAGGACGATTATTTAAAGTGTGCTACAAAGCTGGACTGACTGGACTTTGAATCACACAGTATACAGTGAGAAAACTCTGTATGTGTTTTTACAAGTACATACAGTGCATAAGTACATACATTTCAAATTTCAAGTATTTATTAGATTTTGCATTTTATAACAGCAAATACAAAAATACAACAACCAAAAGCAAGAAGCAAACAAACAAAAAAGAACAAGAAAAATGAAACGAAACAAAAACAGTGAGGTTTCAACATCTAAGTCAGGTAGACATGTAGGTTCAAAAATTGTCCCATTGTTTCACCGAAGCTTCTGTCAGATGATTTAACTTTCCCAACATCTTAAGTACATACATTTTATACTGAAACCTGAATCCCGTTGTGTCATAAAACACCCAGCTCAAACAAATTGGCAGTTCACTTGGCAGAAAAATCAGAAAATACATTAAGTTTCGCATCCACACATCCACGCAAACAACACTGTCAGTATTTGAATATCAATTATAATTACAACACTCTGGGTTTGATTTAATGGTGAGTAATGATGGGTATTTTAAAACTTCAGGGGTAGTTAAACGACGTATCACTTCTGGCTCTCTCTTTGGGTCAAGGTAAACTGAGAATGCTCTAAGGGTCAGCCCACAGGAGTTTTTGCAGCTGTGTCCCATGAAGGCACATACATTACTGATCTATGTGAAATATTTAGGGCCGTCCAACATTTTAAGAACTGCCAGATTACAATATCAGGGCTAAAATATCTTGTGAGCTTAAAATGTGGCCCCGTTTCTATGATCTATTAATTAGTTTGCACATTTTGAGCCTTTTTTTCTCTGTTTATTGTCTCTGCTTTGTTTTTGTTTTCCCTGCAGCTGCCCCATAAGCAGCAAGTGATGACACATCCATAACTCTGAGCGCAAGACGGTGTCCTACTTTTGCACCTGTGTGTGTGTGTGTGTGTGTGGGAGGGTGCACGCATGTTGTATTTATGCTGGGTCATAAGCTTTGTCAGCAAAAGCCCACACATTACATAGTGAAATCCTCATGAGATACCTCAAGCTACGAATGAGTGTTTATGTAGATTAGAAGTGGGAATCACTGGCAATCTCTCAGTTTTGTTATGTTGTATCTGTGGAGAACAGCATCCCTGCTATATTGTCTGTACTCTGGAAATTTGTCATTTCTCAAAATAGCGCAAATCTTTAGAAATTATACCCCCCAGTTAGTTGAAGGTTTAGAAACTGTTGCACTTTTTGTCTTTGCTAAAGATGGATTTCAGTGTTTTGCTCGGCAACGACTAGGGATGGGTATTGAAAACCGGTTCTTGTTGAGAACCGGTTCCCACTGTTTCAATTCCTTGGAATTGTTTGCCATTTTTGCAAACGATTCCCTTATCGATTCCAGTCGCCCCGAATGACGTCACCACGTTGCGGAGCGTCATTTACCTGGCAGGGAACACGGCGCCTAAGCGGCACAAACGCTCAAAAGTTTGATTATACTTTACGAGAACGAATGACAACAGGGCAACTTGCAATACTTGCAAAGTAGATATTTCATTTAAGGGAGGAAACACTACAAATATGAAAAAAGAATTTGCTCACAAAACACGTGATAACCTCAAATGAATGTCGTGATTTTAATTCCGCTCCGGACTCGTGAATCTCAACCCAGCAGCAGCGGTAACGTTTGCACGTCCTCTCCCGTTAATGCGGCAGGTAAATAATCAACTAACAGTGCATATTGTGTTAGCGCGTTAGCGCCTTATTATAAAACCTGCCATTACTGTGCATTTAGGTGGCCATGATGAGAGAGACAGACAGAGTCTGGCTGGCGCTCGCTGGTAGTTGTTGCTGCGTTGTCGCTGTCCATTTGCCACAGCAGATGCCCCCGATTTTCGGTAAGTGAAGATGTTTAATTGTAGGCAGAGACATTACTGGATATTCTTGTGCAATTGCTACAGAATAATTTATGTTATACTTTGTTATTGCTACAGAAGAATATTTATTTTATTTTTTTACATTTAAAATTTTTTTCCCAGGAGACCTTGTGACACCCCATTGAAGAGCC